AATTTTCATGATGCTTTATAGATAAAAATGTTTGAGATTTAAATTTGTCTTTTGCTAAATTAATTAGGAACGCTTTGTCTATATAATAAAAAGCGTTCATAGTTTAACGATTAGTCAGAAACTAACATGATTCATGTTCAAATCGAATTGTTTACACGACTACTTAAGTCAAGTTTCGTTAATTAACCGGACAACTATTATCTTCGTCAGTTAAAATTGTATCATACATTTATAAAAACAAAGACATCTATAACATTTTTTTTTTCTCTAAAGAGGTTTGGATCATGGTTAGGTGGGAGGATATGAAGATTTTAATTGCCATAATAACTAGGAAATGACCTTTTACATTATAAAGTGAAAACAAAGCGTTCATGACACCTCTAATGATCAGTCAGAAACTGACAGGATTCCATGTTTGGGTTTTTTTCACAACTATATGCAAAACAGTCGAGTTTCAATAATTATTTATGACAATCTACAAACCTTCTTCTAAGAGATCTATACTATAATACACATCTACGGTAATCTGTTTTTTTTTTRTTTRTCTAAGAGGTTTGGAACAAGGTTAGGTTTGGAACAAGTTTATGTGGGAGTACAAGAAGATTTTATTTACCTTATTAGTTAGAAACTGATTGTTTTATATTATGAAGTGAAAGCAAAGCGTTCATAATACCTCTAACGACTAGTCAGAAATAGGCTGGATTCCATGTTCGGGTTATTTTCACAACTATACAAAACAATCAAGTTTCAATAACTAATTTCTGGCAATCTAAAATCTTCCTCTAATAGGGTTGCATCATACATCTATACTATAAAACATATCTACGGTAATCTAAAATTTTACTCTAAGGGGTTTAGATCGAGGTTAGTGAAGAGGACATGAATATTCTATTTGTTATACAATATTCAAATTGTTTTCAAAACTCGTGCAAAACAATTAAGCTTCACTAATTAGTTACGGCAGTCTAAAATATCCTTCTAACAGATTTGGCTTAGACACATCTATTGGATACCTAATCTATATAGAGAAATCGTCCAACTAACCTCTGTTAAATTCCGGCAATATGAGACCATCGTGGACCTTCTTGCAATTATGTTCACCTGCAAGTAGAATTGGTATAGCAAATAACGCATAATCAGGCCAAATTTGTTTTACTAATTATTTGAAGTCCAAAACATATCAAAGTAAAAGAAATGAGAAGAATCTGAAATAGTTGTTGATTGAAGGGGTCAAAATTGTAAGGTGAAGAAATCTCTCACCATGGCCTTGTTCTTCTTCCTCGGCAAAAAATTTGATTAAGACAATACTTCTCTCCTTGTAAACATCGGCAAGAACCGAGCTAGAGTTCTGAAGACGTTACGATGAATGGTCTATACATGCTGATTCACGCCATTGTTTCAAGAAGAAATTCCTAATTAAGCTCAACCCATTTGCAAAAAACCTCATGATACTCAAGTAAAATGATCTTCAACAGATAAATAATATATTGGAGCAATTAGTGAATTACTCTTTTCAATATCACATTTCTAGGAGAGTGAGATTAGCTTTTAAACAAAGCTGCCAAGAAATCATGTTTGACCAAGCAAATGAACATCCAAGAGTTTCCATGTGATTGGTACATACTGTGAGAACAGAGCATATTTTGACATTTTCAACTACTCGTGTCGACCTTGTGTGTTTATTTACTTCAAATCAAAGAATCATAGTAATCACTTTCAAGATATACACCGATCTGAGGCTACTCAGCGACAAATGAAGGACAAATATCTCGTGAAACTCAAAGGAAAAAAATCTCTAGAAACATATTGTTCATCAACTTATATCAACTTTTCTTCAGAAGAAGGAAAGATAAATCAACTCTCATGAATAAGTTTCTAACCTGATCGTTTACCAGTAGACCTTTTGACTCAACTCCGCATCATCCATCTCAATTGTCACTCCATACCAAGATAAACCCTGACAATGATCAGAAGGCACGAGGCGGTAAACTCAGAATTTCAGAGATGGTCTTTAACATTAAAGAAATCATTACTAGAAGGAAAACAAAAAAAACAG